ATAGTAATAAATGATATAGAAAATAGAAATAATTATAAAATAAATAAAATTATAATAAAATGTAATTTTTCATAACTAAGAAAAGATTAAAGAATTAAGAAATTTTATGTCACTATGATAACACTATAATTACTGAAAATTTTGTGTTATTGCAGTCAATATATTTTCAAATATGCAGTTCCAGGCAAAAATAATGATGTGAATATTTTTGCCCATAATTTAATAATAAATATCCAAAACACACGAAAATTTGTGATATATTCATGAACAAGATTTTCTAATACACTAATAGAAGTTATGTCAAATGTGCCGGATTAGTGTTTGCATTAGCAAAAATTATTTAAAAATATATTCAATATGCAATTTTGAATAATTTCCTGAAAACATATTTAAGATATAAAGACTATGATTTAATATAAAACTCATTAATAAAACTCTTTTTGACTGTTATTTATTAAATAATATTAAATGATATTTTTAAAAAATTACAAATATATTCTTTATCTTAAAATATATTTTTTACAAAATTATTTTCAGAATTACATATTGAATATTTTTAAATAATTTTTGTCCATGCAAACACTTAAACTTGCTAAATTCCGAAAATTTTATTAAGAAAATCTTGTCTAGGAATATATCTACAAATTTTGTGTATTCATTGTTAAAATTAAGCGAAAATGTTATTTTCGCCGACTGTAGAATTTAAAAAAGTTAGATATAAATTAAGTATTCAATAGAGGAATTATATTATTATTTTAGAATATTACTGATAAAAGATCATAAATTATGGGACAACAAATATTTAGTAAATATAAAACTTTTATATTTGGGGAAGCTCTTTATCTTATTATATTTTTAATATAATTTTCGAAGTTTCTGTAATTTATTGTAGGAGTGTTGTATAACAATGAAAGAATATTTCCGGAAATACATGTATTATTTAATAGTCATTATAGGAAAGAAACAATATGACAGCTTTTTTATCCAAATAAATAATAAAATCGGACTACATGTATTATCGTTATATAAAAAATATCATTAACAAAATCTATAGTTGTGGGCATAATTATCGAAATACTTGTTATAATATTTCCTTTTATGAAATGAATTTGAACTAATCTATAAATATTATTGTATACTTTGAGTCTTTTCCTTTTAATAAATTTTTCGAGATTAATTACAAGAATTTTGAAATTTATGTTTGAGACTTGATTCTAAGATCTGTAAAGTTTGTTTACTTTTATGAAATCTCTACTTTGCTTAGCGTTATTTTTTCAAAACAATATTTCTTACAAACAGTTAAACTAAACTGCAATTGAAGAATAAGAAAAATAATATTTTTTAGCGGTATCAGAAATTATAACACTTAATTTTACTAAGATTTCGAAAAATTTTTAGGCCTCAAAGCTCTAGTAAAATGACAGAATAGTATCGAAGTTAGATACTGTATTTATAAGAAATATCAAAGATATGGAGAAATTCTGTCTTCGTTCAAAAATGTATTATAAAATTTTATTCAGCATCTTAGTTAAAACTGTTGAAAGCGGTAACATTCGAAGAATCTTAAATAGAACAATACAAGAGCTTACTATATCGAGAGTTATTTTATTTTGAAAATAATTTTAATTACATGTATCTATCGTTGGAACTAAAATGTACTTCCTTGATTAGAAAATATACAGTTTTATGCATACTATGCTTGTTAACTTTATATTCGAGTATAAAGCTAATGAGATTTGAAAATGGAATAATACAAGAGAGCAAACAATGGTCAATCTTAATTTAACATATAAACAAAATTTCTGTATAGATAATACAAGGCTTTATATTAATCCTCAAGCTTCTCATCATCCAACGAAATACATGATGATGAATTTCCATGAGATGAAAGAGTTTTTTTGTTTACTGTACATTTGAATTCAAGATTGTATAAAAAGTACCAGCAAATTGCACCACACCCTATTACAACTAAACTGATGACATAAGGAAGATAATATTCATAGCTTGCGTATTGAATACTTTCACATTGTGTGTCGTTGTTGGATGCGTTGGATTCGTTGAATTCGTTGGATTCATTGGATTGTTCTTGTTGTGAATCTTGCGTTGTTGCATTAGATATTTTTGATGAATCGTTTACAAAAGAACCAACTATGATAAATAGCGCGAACATAATAAATATTATGGGTATTAAGATTATCACTTTGAATGGACGAGCTAGGTCGGGTTTAGAATAGCGCAGAATCTAAGAACATTTATAAAAATTATAATTAGTGTTTTTAAAAGCATTGACGTTTCGACAAATATAATCAAAAGAACTCACCAATAATCCAAGAGCACTCAAACATAGAAATACCCACATACAATGTTGGCCCAAATTAATAAAAAATTTAAATGGATCATTATGTGGATAAAAGATAACAATCAATGAACACCAAACTGCTTGTGTTAGCTGCAAATAAGTAATTGTTTATAAATAAATTGATCAAAAGCAAGAAATTTCTGAGAATAGAGAATACATGTGTATTCCATACCAATGCGAATATTGGAGTGTCCGTGTTTCCATTCCATTTTAGGAACCATGACGAGAAGGGAATATAATCTCTTGCAGCAGCTGCTACAATTACTCGTGATCCAGCAAATACGTTCGCAGCCAATGCGCCAAAAGCTGATACACATACGAAAAAAGATAATGTACGAGCTAAGTCAAAGCCGCCAACTTGGTAAGCGAAGCGGCCAGCGATGATTTCTGAAGGTTCAGTAAGACCAGTTATTTTTGATAATGGTACATTTGTGTATGCGATATTAGCAAGAAGATCTAGAATATACAAAATAATCACATTAATTTGAGAAAATATCAACAACACATTCGATTCGTATAGCAAATAACACCTACACAACACGATAACAATAACGACGCTAATACTATTTGAGACGAGCAAGTTTTCCTTTGGATTGACAAATTCATCCAAGGTATCTAAAGAAAATATTTAATTCAAGCAAGCATCAACTGAAGTGCGTATAAAAAATTTATTACTTACAATTTAAGTTATTCCATCCATTGTATGCAAATAAAATGGGAATAAGTGCAGCAACCAAAGAACGTGCACTAATAGTCAAATCGGGAAACATATTTTTCCAATTCGTGTTTGGATCATTAATAAATCGAGGAATTGTTGCCAGTCCGATGATCGATATTACAAGCAATGTCAGTATCTTTGTAATCGTAAGCGCTTGATTAATACGATTCGACCACTTATTGGATAGCATGTGATAAAACGTGATTAGAACTATTGCAGTTAACGAAACAAGTCGTAGCTCCCTAACGATAGAATTACTTGATTTAGAATAACCGAATCTTATAACAATTCTTATTGACGTCTCTTACCAAAATCTCCAATCAGTCATATAGCTCGTTGGATGCAGATAATCAATGTCACAAACTTCACTAGCCTTAACTAAATATAAAAAATACTGTGCAAAGACATTCGAGATAGCACACATTGAAGCTGGTCGTATTGCCACAATCATGGCAAAGCTAAACATATAACTAAATAGTGCTCGTGGATGCGGATATGCTTGTCTCAAATATACAGTTTCTCCACCTCCATCCGGTATTGAACTTCCTAACTACATGTATCATATATTAAGATACTAATTAGATTGAAACAAAATGATAGCAAATACTCCATAAATACCTCGACATAAGAAAGCGACCCAAACAGGGCCGCAAGTCCACCCACTAACCATAAAATCAATGCTATCCCCGGAGATTGAATTTCATTTAAAACTAGACCAGGACTTGAAAATATTCCAGCTCCAATCATGTTATTGCAATTATTCCCAATACCAGCAAAGGTTCCTAAGAACCTGGTTCTTCCAGTTGTACAGCGAGAGATGTCGCTTTTCGAATCATCAATACTTTTAACATTGCTGCTACTGTTATTATCGTTGCTCATCTTGATAATTTAAGTTTCGAATTTATGAATCAATAAGCTGTATAAATATGTATCGATATTTTTTTTTATGTCTACGAAAAAGGCAATCTGGACATGTATTTGGTGGCATGGTGTGACATTCGAATACCAATACCAACGCCGCCGCCGCCGATACAAAAAATTACATATAGGTACATGTATGTATATGTACAAAAGTCTGGAATCGGAAATAATTATATATCAATCATTTCCGATTCCAAACTTTTGTCTACATGTACAGTACTGCATTTATGTTCTTTTAATACAATGAAACCTTTTGTAGGAGACCTTTTTAATGACAACAATACAAATTGGATGTTGATTGCCGATCATGTATAGTTGCCGTCGCAACGAGAAATCCGTGATTACGAAAATTCTGAAATACATGTATAATTAACTATCGGAAAGCTTTACATTAAAAATAATTATTCTCCCAGCAAATCCTGCGAAATTCATACATTGTATCAACATTGATACCGGTTCGAAAAATTCTTATCTTGTAATATCAACATTAACGCTGCTTCCCAATGATAACAATTTCTTACGAAAATTCCTATTTGCAATCCAAAGATTTTGATTACCCTTAGAAATTTACAAACATTCGTACTGTCACAGGTAATGAATGAATAGATTTAAGGTGGAGAGAATAGTTAGACTGATTGTAACGTTTATTTCTAATTCTGTGTCGTTATCGTTTATGTGTGCGACTAAAGTGAGAAAGCTGAGTGAATGGGAGGGAAATTGTATGTTTTTTATTCTATTATTCCAATCAATACTGTATCCAGACAAAAAGCCTTAAACTAATCTATCAATCAATTGATGCGTTGCCTTTTCTGGATCAAGGACCTAACCGATACGAGGTTTTCTGACACAAAGAAACTAACCAATACGTTGTCTTTTCTGACGCAAAAAACCTAACTAATGTTTTGAAGGTATACCACGTTTTCTTTGGGATTATATGATATATTTTGTTTATCTTCACTCTTTACAATGACAGGAAGGTATTGAAAGTTGCTAAGGGTTTTAAATATCGGAAGCAGTCGCTTCACATCACTTGTACAGATATTCTTTACAATCATGAATATGGTAAATCACAGTGGTAACCATCGTCATATCGGATAATTACTAAAAATTTTTCCTTATAAATTAATGTTAAAGTTTATTGTTACTGCTGGGTTATAACTTATTATTGTGACTTTACTGGTTTTTGCGTGCATTGTGGATTGGAGGAGAGAATAGACTAATGATTGTTTGTTAGGTGTAAAATGCCTGTGACATAAACGATTTTATATCAATTATAATTAAAATACTTTTTCTAGCCAAAAGTTTTAAGCTTTAAATTACTAAATTATAATACCTTCTCTGCACTAAAGGATCTAACCAATAGCAACTATCATGGATTTACAAATTATTTTTACTTGAAGAAGAATTGTACGCAAAATATTCTCTCCTTTTTCATTGGCCTCTTGAGTCTGTCTATATCAAGTATACATTTTTGGCGGCTACGTTGTAGAGTGATTTACACGTACATGCAATTGAAGACATTATTCAAGATAGAAGAAAGGATAAATAATTGATATAAATTTATTATGATGTATCATGTATAAAACAAGATACATGTACTAACCAAATTGTTTTCACAATGGATACGAATTAGCATTACTACGTACATGTGCACAGTCATCGTCAATATAACTGATGATCGTTATAACGGACACTAACTTATAGAGGATTGAGGTAAGTCGCCGCCAATATAATGGATTTGTTTCAAATGAACTGACGGAGTCCGTGATTTCGACTTTGTGTAATACGACCTATGTATACATGTCATGTACATATGGTGTCCACAACATCCGGATTCCCATCTTCCCGAAAATTCAACATCCCGACAATCCAACATCCTGGCAGCCTAGCATCCCGACAATCAAACTTTCCGAAATTTAACATCCCGACAAACCTAACTTCCCAACTTCCCGAAAAAACTAGTTCAATTTCTGGTTTATTGGGTTAACGGGAAGTTAGGTATGTCGGAATGTTAATTTGTCAAGATTTTAGATTGTCGTTTAGGTTGTCGGGAAGTTGGATGTTCGGGAAGATGGTTGTCAGAATGTTGGTAGACACATTCAGAGCATCCAATTGTGTGCATTAAAAGAAGAGTTATATCAATATATTCAATCTTTTTGCTATCATCATGCATGATAAATGTGTCAGAATTCCAGTTTTTTGTGTGTGTAAGATCGATGAAAATGAACATAGAACGTATAACAATAATGATATTATGTAGACTTAAAATGGTTCATAGGATCACGGCAATAGATTGCCAATAGGTTGCAAACTTTGCGGTATTTGTAATAGTGAACAATGGAACTGTCTTCTTGTCGTAAAATTAGCCAGTAAGATGAAATGACATATTTTGACACCAATGGAAACTATATTTTATATATATACAGGTGAAGTTATAATGACTAGGTTTATTATATATTTTAAAATAAAAATTCATTCGCCTATTACAGCTCGCCTATAAACTCACACATGATCCTATACAACAATAAATTTTGATGTTTCAAACTTAAATTCATTTTCTTGCATACATTAAGGATTTATGCAAAGTTATCCAGTAATTAATTACATTAATATAGAACTAAGATTAATTTATCAAAACAGCGAAAAGATGAAACATTTTGAATAAATATTACGGTTGTGACCGGATCGTCATAATCTTCAAAAACAATATCCATGATAGCAAAACAGATCACCCGAGCAATCACCATCAGAATCGCAAGCATCGCCGTTATTACAGTCTCCACTAATACCACCATATGTACAGCTCTTCAGCTGGATTCTTTCATTGGGAGGCAATGATAAGACTATCGTTGAATACATGATGCAAATGATAATAGTAAACCAGAGAACAGATTTCATAGTTTGGTTTAGCTATGTATAAATAGAAGAGATGCGTCTGGTGATTCTTTGATGTTTTCTAAAGATATTGTCAGATCGGATGTTTCGTTTTGTGCTTTTCTCAGGCAATTTAAAAAACTCATATATACGTATATATAGGTTTTAGATTTGCCGATCCTGAACTTTAAAATGAACGGTTTTGTAAATGCATCCGAATTTGTCTCGGATTATTTCTTTTCGGTTTCTTTTTGAATTTTTGAATTTTGATTGTGAATATCAGCAGTTTATATTATTCAATATGGAAATTTTATTATAAATGACCATTAAGCACATTGCCACATTACTATTTTAAATAAATATTGCTATTGTCAAAGTTAGTGCGTTTGTGGAACTTAATGGTTGAAAGAGAGTAATTAGACTAATTGTACGTTTGAATTTTATTTCATGTGCCAATTTAAAGATATCGTTCAACGAGTGCAATTCAAAAAAAGTAACAGGGAAATAAAATGCAATTTTGAAACAAAACGGAGTAAAATGGAATTTTTTAATGTCGGTTTTGTAGCCATTTAATTAAATGGGAACATAAATCAGCTATTATTTCGCATCGGCAACTCACAAAAAAATTAAATGAAAATCATTAAGCTTGTACAAAAAACACAACGTACGTTAATTCGACACTTAATAATAATGCATATATGACACTTTATAATATTAATTTAAAGACATTGAATTTAAATATATTTATTGTAAACGTAGTTTTAGTATATACAGTGCGTTACAAAAAAAACCATAATTACTATTTTTACTTATATTCAATGAATATTTATTTAATTCATATAA